AATAGGAAGCATCTACTAAACGTTTCGGAATAATCAGTATTCCATCATCAGTAATCTAGAGGTACAAAACAAACAAACAATATTTGTAATTAGAACAGAAATATGATATACATAAGAAGTAAACAATTTAAATATACAAATGATAACATGAGAAAATAAAAAACGTAGCACAAATGAAATAGTTAAATTAGAATAGGTTTAAATCAAGTGAAGACTGTGAATTATTTAGGGACGTAAGAAGAGTTTTATGTATAATGTTTTTCTTATAAGAAGTCCAGTATCATGCTTGGCTGTTGAGAGAATTTTAAAGTTGGAGAGAGAAATCGGATGTCCTGTTTCTGTATTGTGCTGATAGATAGCGGAGTTGGGAGGGTTTGTAACCTTTCTTCCAGTTTTCCTAAATATGCCCATGTGTTCACATGCTCGTACTTTAAGATGACATTTGTTTTCACCAATATAGTCTCCGCAAGTGTATAAGTGGACGAAATGTGAACAATGGGCAGTTGGCAAACGATCTTTGTAGCGGAAAAATTTATAGTCTGAAATTGGGTTTCATAACTTTCAGGTCAATTTGGGAATAGTAAGAATTACATAATTTTTTTCAACTGTTTCGTGATATGGGAGCTCTGTCTTCCACAATAACTTCCCTTTTACACCTGCTTACCATATCTTGGGAAATACAGAAACCTAAGCAAAAGAAATATTATTTCTGATTGTGTTTACAGCAATTTATATCCAACAGGCTCCCAACCTGGAGTATTATATGGCATGCCGAAAGTTCACAAATGAGACATTGCCTCTGACCTATACTTTCCACCTTTGGCACTCACAATTATACCTTAGCTAAATTCTTTGTACCCATCTTAAAACCTTTTACTAGGAACCTTTTACTCCTTTCAGTTTTCCCGATAAATCAGTCAACTCTCCCCCCCCCCCCTTACAAATCACGTGATGGCTAGCTTCGATATTACTTCTCTTTTTAATAAATCTGATTTAAAATCTATACTTGAACTCTCGACTAAAGACTCTTCTCTAACAATACTCTATATGAGCAGATAGATGGCGTTGCTATGGGCTCCTTTCTGAGTCCTGCGTTTGATAACATTTTTCTCAGTCACCACGAGCAGAACTGGGTTGACAACTGTCCTTTTTAAACTTCAAACCTGTCCTGTACAGAAGGTATGTCGATGATACTTACCTTATTTTCCGCCATACGGATCATATCTAACGCTTTCTTGACTGTCATAATTAACAACACCTTTGTGTACACTTCACTCCTAAAGTTGAGACATATAACTTAATTATTAATATAAGTTATTTCCTTCCTGGACGTTCTTGTTAACCATGATGCTATCGTCACGGCTTTTCAACTTCTGTCTATCATAAAAACACATTTACTGGCCTTTTTGACAATTTTATACCTTCTCTTTCAAACGCAATCGTATTAATTGCTTACTAAATAGGGCCTACAAATTTACCTCATCCTATCTAGCCATTGACAAAGAAATTACTTGCAAAAAAGCATTCTCTTTCGAACGGCTACCTTAAGCATTTCTTGGAGAAAATAACTTCCTCATTCTTAAGTTAACCAATTTGTTTGTCAAACCACCTAGGATACCCACTGTACCCAAACTTCTCTTATACGTTGTACACCTCACCTACTTACCATATCTTGAGAGACAGAGCTCCCTTATTATGAAACAGATGAAAAAATTATGTAACTCTTATTATCACCAAATTGATTTGAAAGTTGAAAATTATTATGAAATCCAATTTCAGACTAAAAAATATTTTCTGCTACAAGGATCGTTTCCCAACTGCCCATTGTTCACATCCCATCTACTTATATATGTACTGATTCTGTAAGTATAAGGCCTTCTATATTGGTGAAACCAAACATCATCTTAAAATACGAGCATGTGAACACATGGGCATGTCTATAAAAACTGGAAGAAAGGTTACAAACCTCCCAACTCCACTATCTATTAGCACAACACAGAAACAGGACATCCAATTTCTCTCTCCAACTTTAAAATTCTCTCCACAGCCAAGCATAATACTGAACTTCTTATAAAAGAAACATTAAACTTATAAGTTATAAACTCTTCATCCATTCATAAATAATTTATTCTTCACTTAATCTAACTATTTCGTTGTGCCACATTTTTCTTTTTTTGTGTGTTATAATTTGTATATTCAAATTGTTTACTTTTTATGTATATCATATTTCTGTTGTAATTACAAATATTGTTTGTTTGTTTTGTAACTCTGCAGTCTAGATTACTGATGTGTGTGATGATGGAATTTTGATGATTCTGAAATGTTTAGTACATGCTTCCTATTATCACGTTCATGTTATGCCTATTGTTATAGTTCATACAACGTAGACTGAAGAAAGAGTATGTAGGAAGTCTATTCTCTCTAGTATTATGACTGATACAATGTTAGTTAGAGTTTAAAGGAATTTTGAACTATCTAGATTTACAGCTCATAGAAAGTTGACCAATGTTAGAGATTAGAAGGCCATGGAACCCAATATTATGGCTTATACAAAGTTCAGTAGAGATAGAGCTTTAAATAAGGAAGTTTGTACTGCCTAGTATTATAGCTCATACAAGACTGATAGTGGTCAGTTTTTAAGGAAAGTCTCTACTGCCTGGAAATTCTGTTTATACAAGGCTGACTAGTTTAGAGGAAATCTATACTGTCTATTATTATACGTCATAAAAGGTTCACTAGTATTAGATTTTACAGAAAGTCTCTACTTCTTAGTAGCATACCAATACAACTATAGTTAGAATTAAGAGAAAATGTATACTGTTGAGTATTATTGCATATACAATTTAACTAGTGTTAAAGCTTAGAAAAAGTCTGTACTGCTCAGTATTATAGCTGGTAGAAAATTGAGTAGCATTCTAGCTTAGTTAAGTCTATATTGCCTGGTATTATATCCCATACAAATTTGACTACCGAAAGGAAATCACACAACAAGGAAGACAATGGAGTATCTGTGGCTAGGCCTTTGATCTGTTTATAGATCATATTATTAAATTTAGTTCTAAGTAGGCTAAGCTTTTATGTCTTACCAAAGGTCAATAAAATTGTAGATTATTATAGACCCATAAGTACTAAACATAGGTTTATCCTTCTATATTGTATCTACGTTTATAACACATAAGTTTTCACTTATTACCGACAAAAATATTTTAACTATAAAAAATTCAATAAAATTTGTAGAAAAAATTAAGTAAAGTAAACCTAAATAATGATGATATGCTTGTGTCTTTTGATATCAATTCATTATTCACAAAAGTACCAATTGATAAAGTTATTAATTGTTTTGAAGATAAATTATGAATGAATGATGCCTGTCATTGAAACCTTTGATATGATAACTTGTGTGGAAATGCATTTTCCACACAAGTTATCATATCAAAGGTTTCATTGTTTTTAATTTAATAATAAGATCTATAAACAGGTCGAAGGCCTAGCTATGGGTTCTCCACTGTCTTCTTTGTTGTGTGATGTTTTCTTGGATAGGTTTGAAACTGATACTTTGCTGATCATAAAACTTAAATCTGAAATATAGATTTGGTATGTTGATGACACATTAGTGGGGTGGCGGCAGGATAAAAAAAACTTTATAGATTTTGCTAATTACATAAGTAGCTTAGAAACTACTACTAAATTTACTTATTAGATTGAAGAAAATAATAATTTGTTTCTTGACGTATTTGTTAAGACAAAAATAACTTAGAAACCACTGTTTTTTATAAACCTTTTTATGTTATGATGCTGCCAGACCAAGAATAATGTCATACCAATACCAAAAATATGAGCTTTTTATTTATATATGTACAGGTTTTTAAGGCTGTGTTCTAGACAAGAAGACTAATAAAATTAATTATTATAATTAAACATGTAGCATTAGATAGAGGTTTTTTCATCTAATATTGTTGATAGAAGAGCAAGAAAAGTTAGTAAAATTACAAATGAGGATCAAAAAGGTAAGCTCAAATCAACTTTTGATAAAATATATAAAACAAAAATGTTATTTCTTCCTGCCATATGTCACAGATTTATCATATCTCATTTTTTTGAAAACTTAAAAACAAATCAAAATCTTATTCTGATTTATAGACTTTTAAGTAATATTAGTCAAATATTAAATAAAACTAAAGCTTTAATTAATCTAATGGAGAAAACAGATATTTATAAAATTGAATGTGAATGCGGTTTTATGTTCAACAGTCAAATTAGAAGAAATTTGAAATCAATGAACGTAAGAGAAATGTCAAAAACAGAAGTGAAACTTCTGCAGTAGGTGAACATGCAAGTCATACTGGTCAATGTTATTCAGTGGAAAAAAACTTTTTTTGGCTCAACCAAATGATATGACGTTTAGAAATATCTAAGAATCTAAAAGAATTATGAAACACACTAAAAATAACCATCATGTCTTAAATAAGGATGAAGGATTGAAAAGTCATAAAGTATGCAGATGGTGTGATATTTCTATTGTTATTAAACTCTTGTATCTCCTGATCCTGAGCATCCTGTGGATAATATTAGAATTGAAGTCGTATAGATATTAATTTGTTGGCATTAAGTAAAAAAAGTTGATAAAGCATCAAAATCAGACAGTGTTTCCTTAGGGTTTGAAAAGATGTCAAAGATCAGACTTGCAAGCCTCTTTCTCCCCATTTATGGTAGGTATATAGACAGTGGGTAGATGTGTAACTTGTAAAGCTTAGAAAACTGGTAATACTACTTCTGTTTCTACAGGTATTAAGACTATTAAGAGTTGCCCTGGAAATAACAACCCAGTTAGTCTTGAATCTGTGGAAGGGAAAAGTATAGAAAATGTGATTAACCTTTTCTGTGATTTCCCCAATATAACTCATTTGTCCTCCACCGTGTTTTAAGAAATATTTGCCCAAATTATTTTGGGCATGCAGTTTTTCATTGTATTTTTAATTATTTGCTCAAATTTATTTTCACGTTATCATGTATTACAATCAGTACTTGATAGACGGTGATGAAAATGCTGTTTGTACTGATCTTTATTGTATTTATTCTAAATTAAGTATTATAAACACTGGAGAAAAGCATTCTTAATCTTATTCTTTACAATAGTTTTATTGAAATAATATATATCACATATAAATCCAAGTACATAACATTTATTTAAGAAGTATATTTTGTGCACAAACATAATAACACATCATAAAATAATTTTTGTTTCATTAATATAAAAATGTTGGTTATCAAAAAGTAAAATAAAAAATTTCATTTTTCAGCTTATTTTCAAAAAAGCCTGATATGGAAAGGGTTAAAGAAGCTTTGTAAAATCATTTAGTGAAATATATATAAGAGAGCCAAAAATAATTCATAAGATGGAAACTTGTGTTATATATATATATATATTTTTTTTTTTAAGGATTATACTTATTATCTAGATGATGGGAAGGCTATGGACGTTTAGTATTGAAATTTTTAAAAGGTTTTTGATAAATTACTGTACAGATATTACTTAAGAAAATCACACTCGTGGGGGTTGGAGAAAAATGTAATTAAGTGGATTGAAGATCAAGAGGCTTTTCAAAAGTGAACAAAAAGTTGGTAATGAAGTCCAGTCAAACAGGATCTTTGTTACCAGTGGAATGCCTCAGAGTTAGATATTTGTCCATTGCTTTTTTTTAATTACATTAACAATATTGATGGTGGCATAATTAATAGTTTGCTTATTACATTAAATTCTTATATAATTGTAATTATATTGAGGACATTTACGTATTATAGAATGGTTTGAGTCAAATTTATACATTTGACAAATAGTTTGACAAAACTGATCAACCAAAATGATAGTTCTTTTTCTTCCATAACTATTAAAGCTATTCCCATCAAAATTCAAATTTTGATGATCCACTTGCATTATCTTGTATTTATTATAATTAAAGGCCATTTGCCATTTATTTTTCTAACGTACCAAATGATATAAATCCTTTTGTAAAGCAGCAGCATCTTTGTTACAACCAGTAACATCCAATAATTTAATATTATCAGCAATTTTAACTAACTTTTTGACCATTACTTCATCTATATCATTGATGTAAATCAAAAAGAATGAAGTTCCTAGTACAATGCACTGAGGTACTCCACTTGTGACAATAATATAA